AGTAGGAAAATAGGTAGAAGGATTATATATGCCCATCTCGAGTTATATGAAGTAAAGGTGGGATATAAACCAAATACTACTTCTACTAATAAAATATTTCTTGTCCAACCAGTGAAATCATGACTTGTGAGAAAGTTATGCAAATTCATTTATCATTTTAGGAAGATGCAGAGCACATGCTGCAACCTACCGGTAGTTATATGGAACTACTGCTGATTCCTTGTTATCTCCCCATTTTAAACATTTTTAAGGAAAACTTAACTGGGAAACCAAGCATTTTGTAAAAGCAAATTCTCAACATTTCTATTTAGTAAGTGTCTCTAGGCCCTCTATGGGTAATTGCTAGGTAATAAGTAAGTGGTTGCCTCCTGGTACTTTTTGGGAAAAGATGCTCACCTGCCCAGAAAAGTAAGGAAAAGGTGAGATGGGAATGGTAGGAAACATCCTGAGATTCAAGAGAACAATCTCCTTGCTTGCCTACTTGTAAATTGGTGTCATTGATTATTTCCTCCTTGGCAGCTACTTTTGGCCCACCTTCCTAGGGAGCTCACTCCTGTCTCTGATGCCTGATAATATTGAATAGTTTACAGTACCACTGAAGGCAGAAGAAGTCAGTGCACGAGATTGAGCCACTCTTAGTCATGTGAGGAAAATAGAAATTTGAGTGGGATTTTTTCATTATTTTTTAAGACCAGAAATCAAAGACATCCATTCTCCCTATTGTAGAAGTAAGATTTTCCAAGAATAAACTGTGCTTGAAAATTGTCTAGAATGTATATATATGCTGTAGCTGGTACTGTCGGTTTTGGTGGGGGTGTAGTTTCTTCTTGTCTTGGTGTTGATCCCTGCTTACCTGTATGTGGGCTGCTGCAGAGGATGTGTTCTACTCTTCTTGTGTCCTTCAAAGGTTCAAGATGCTAATAGTTTCACAGTTGAAACGGATTGAGTCCGTCCATGTGTTGTTCGTCAAAAGCTCCTTAATTTCCCAGCATGATAGACCAAGCCAAATCCAAACCTGCTAGGGAATTTCTGGAAGCTTGGCATTCAGATTAATAATGATTAATAAAGAGATGAACCACATTTACATAGCATTCAAAAGTGATAATAAAAAAACCTAAGAAGGAAAAAAGAACACAACCGCACCAGCAGCCTACATCCAGGGATCAACACTAGACAAACAAGCAAAACAATACTCTAAGGAACCCCTAAGGAGAAAACTACCCCCCCCCCCAAATTTGTGCTCTTATTAACATGTTCACTTGCACTGATAATGTTACTGAGTCTGGTGAACCCTCTGCAAGCAAACAAGTTCAGAGAGCAAAAGAACTCCACAGTTCAGTCCTGAGCTACTGATATTCTCTTTTATTAGACTGCACTTTCTGTTCCTTTTGGCAATATTTTTGCTTTTGGGTTTTCTAGCAATCTGAATGCATCTGTCCTGTTTGAAGCTGATTGCACGACCTTTTTTGCAAGCACCGCCCTTGATTGTTCAGCCTTTGCGCTTCATCATGGATCTGAAAGACCTTGTTACTTCCTTAAATGATTTTGCTTCACTTTCCCTGGCTGAAAGTTGGGATAATGTGGGGCTCTTGGTTGAGCCAAGTCCTCCTCATATTGTCAATACCCTTTTTCTCACCAATGATTTAACTGAAGATGTGATGCAGGAAGCCCTAGAGAAGAAAGCAAACCTCATTCTTTCTTATCACCCACCCATTTTCCACCCACTGAAACGTATAACTTGGAAAACATGGAAGGAGCGTCTGGTAATCCGAGCCTTGGAAAACAGAGTTGGCATTTATTCTCCTCACACAGCATATGATGCTATACCTAATGGAGTCAATGACTGGCTTGCTACAGGACTGGGTGAGGCATTCTTGTCAGTAATTACACTATATGTAAAATAAGAATCTATGAGCACAAGCCAAACACAAAGTAGATAATAACATTATATGTTTTAAAATGTTATGTTTGTACTCTTGCTAGCATTTTATATTATAAGTTTCTATTGAAATGTGTTAGCAGAAGGACTATGTTAGATAAGTAAAATCTTTGTTGCTGTTTAGCGGGGGGAAAGGCAAGTAAACACGGAATGGATATTATTTTAAATAATGAAAAAATACTAGACTGAAGTATATATTCACATCCAACTATTATTTGTAGGGAGCTCCTCTCTCCCCATCTTGAAGTACCATACTATCAGCCCCACTAAAAAATTGACACCTTTTTAAAGGACTGATGTGAAACAGCTCTTTTAATTCTGCTCCTTCAGATTCATGAAATAGGGCAATCCAAAGAGGGTACTTATGTCTCAATATTCTATGCACAAATAGTATGCACATATAAATGGCCAAAAATCCAGAACCTGTTATGTGAGTCTATGTGAATCATAAACATGGATGAACAGGAATTCTAAGCAAAAATGTAGCAGGTTGCTACAGGAATTAAAGATACCTGTCACTCCTCTGCCATTTCTTTGCAAGTGTGATTTAAAAACAATTGTAGCTTAGTAATTTTTCAGCTCTGCAGTATTTTCAGCATTGTAGCTAATTGCTGTATTTAGTATTCAGCCCCCATTATAATCTTATGAAGAATTAAAATATTCATGTATTAACGATAATATTGGTACACTGCAATAAACCTCAACTTTCAGTAAGTTAACAACAATATACCGGGGACCAAGGTTATGGAAGGCATGTAATTTGATGGTTGGCAAGGTAAAACTTGGACAAGAGTATTGTGCAAATCATTTAATTTACTCTGGTTTTTTTCAGGCGCTTGTACTTCTGTTCCTCTGAAACCGGCTACAGCTTCCACTTACCCTGTAGGTGGGCCTTTCCGGGTTGAATTCAGTGTAGCTTCTGCTGAAAGTCTGGAAACGGTTTTATCCCAAGTCCATACAATGCCAGAGGTGTCACTCACTGCAACTCAACCTGCCAGGTATTGCTGGAGACCACCCTAGGTTATTTTCTTTCACCAACAAGTTTCAATGTGATAAAAGAGCAGGTTCTTTATCTGTGACCAGACAACATTTTTGAGAATGTATAGGAAGAAAGTAATACACATTATTTAATTGTGCTAAAAGGCACTGTACTTTGAATCCTCCCACTTTGGATTATACAGAAAATATGTGATAATGGCTTAAACAGCTTGCAAAAATATTCTAACTTAATCCAGCAACTTTAGCCTATTTCAGAAATATCAAAACTAATAAGTTTTGATTTCCACGCAATAACAGATTTTTACTTTAAGACCATACTCGAAGAAACCAGTGTTTTTTCCAAGTATTAGATGTACATCTGATGAGACGTGCTACTTTGTATTACATTTCAAGTCAAATAAATTCATCGAGAGCTAGGATTTCCCGGCATTTTTAAGACCACTATGACTACTAGGGTGCATAATAAATTATAAGCATAAGCTTATTGCTCCATGCCATAAACAAAGAAGCAACCCCTTCCCATGCCAGACTGTTTATTTCTCTAGCCAAATATTGTCTAATCTGATAAGAGTGGCTCTTTACAATTAGCCAAAAATACCAAGGATTAAATTTGCAACCACAATTATAGAAAGCACAATGATATGCTTTGGTCCTATGTTTTTGGGTGGTGGGTCACAATTTTAATTAATTATATACTGTCTTTATTATTTTTATAAATAAGTCAAGGCGGCAGACATACATAATATTCCTTCCTCCTATTTTTCCCACAACAACAGCCCTATGAAGTGGGTTGGGCTGAGAGAGAATGAGTGGCCCAAAGTACCTTTAGAACTTGGAATCTCCTAAGTTGTAGCCTGCTTCTTTAAACAGTGTACCAAACTGGCTCTCACTGATAAAATGTCCAGTTCCCTATCTGGGATCTTGGTGCTGAAGTGGAACAGGACAGATAAGCAAAGGCTACATACACCAAACACCTGAGAACCCAGGAAGGAGCTCCATAGTCTCTAAGAACTATACTTGTGAATTAGGCCCACTCCCACACTCATCACACATTCATCTCCAAAAACGTGGCCTTTACCCCGCAAAAGTGACCCACTCTTCCCCTTCCACGTAAGCTGAAGCCACAAATAGATGGAAATGAGAGTAGCATTATCTGCCTTAGTGTTTTATCCTTGTTCAAAACTATGAATGGCATCAACCAGCATTTTCACATAGCTGCCAGATGACTTGACAGGCGGCATAAGTCCTGCTTAAAGTTACCTGCCAAAGGTTGTGAATGACTGGGGGTGGTGGGATGGGGATGGTTTGTGCATGATTACTAAAGGCAGTACATTTTGTGATCCGCTCATGTGAGAGAACTGGAGGT